AGCTTCCTAGCTTTTGTGGTTCCCGAGTTGAAAGTTGCGGACAAGTTGCTGCGGACACACACACACCCACACAAACACACAGACAGACAAACCCGTGACAATATGCGTTTTGTACTGTTGTTACACAGCAAAAAACGCATAAAACCATACAATTCAACGGTCCAATATGTCTTCGCTTAATCTGATTTATTTTATCTTTCATCCTTTTTTTTTATCTTTTTTTCAAACATTTTCAATCCATAATAGAAAAATCGCACAGTGAGCTTTCGTTTTAAAGGACAAACAATTGAGAAGATAGTTTACCTCTTCGAATTCGATAAACGCATATTGCAGTGAGGCTCCGGTCTTTCTATCCCGAATAATTTCGCAACATTTTATTTTTCCAAAACGAGAAAAAATAATCTCGAGGTCCTGAAAAAAAGGATTTCAAATTTTACATATCTGTGTGAACACCATTGCAGATTATGAATAAGATTTTTATCTGTTTTTTGCATCTATGTAATGCAAAAACGCGTACTGTCGAAGGGTGTGTATGTGTGAATGTATATGTTTGTGTGTGTGTGTGCGTGTGTGTGTGTGTCTGTACCGATTTTTCATCTCAAGACCTAGAAAAGCAACAAGGTTGAAACTTTGGGAACTTAATCTACATGAACGCAGTCCCCAATCCCCAAAATGGGCGCTCTTGCCCGCGTGAATTCCCCGTATGAGCCCGCTACATTGTTCGGCGGGTAAGCTGCTAGCTCGGGAACCGCAAAAGCTAGAAAACTGCAATTTTTAGAAGATGTTCACGCCCCTGAGGTCTTAATGAATTCCAACCCAACCTCTAGGTATGCATGGTTTCCGCGTACAAGTTCAAACTCAGTCCTCGGGTATTCGTGGTTCCTATGTACGGGCTCGTGAAATTTTTTTGCGAGTAAGTTGCTAACTGGGGAACCAGAAAAGCTAGGAAGCTGAAAATTTAAAGGGATGTTTCCTGACGGTCCTGACGGCCAGTTCGAAGTCTTTTAGCTAAAGGCATTTCCTAGAAATACCAATGCCGTTAGCGACAAAAATCTGCGGGTAACTATGCAAAAAACGCATCTTCTCATCGGCAGTCGATGCGCTGGTCAATTATTTACAGTGGAGAAGGAGATAAAAGAACATATACAACTAACTTCATCTGTAGTAACAGGATTTAATTTGCACACAAATAGAACGTTGTCGGGTGGTTTTTCGTCTGCATGATGTAAATCGCCAACCTAAATTTGAAAAATTTAATGTATACTCAATAAAAGCTGAGCCAGTTAAAAGTACCTGTCAGGTAAAAAACACATAACAAACGAAAAAATAACGAACGCTCTTAACCTAATATTTGAGGAAAGGAAAAGTAACTTTTCCATCAAAAAAGGAAGAAAAATCACACCATTTCCAGAATTTGTGCTTGTGCGGCCATATCTTTTGCTTCAATTTCTTTTCGTTGTTCTTCTTCTGTTTTACCTTCCTCGGCCACGGGTTGATCCAGTGCAATTTGGGAAACCTTAATTTCATTTTTAGAAAAAGTGAGTGAACAAAAAGACAGAAAATAACATTACTGATGCGGGCCAGGAAAAAATAAGTACTCTTCACTTCATCATTCCTTCAGTCAAAGCGATAAGCACACGAAGTTTCTCAGAGGGGTTTATTCCTTGGCCGATACTGTTCCGATAAAGCTACAGCTTTTCCCGTTTTTCATCACTTTTCCAATCAAATCACTGCCTAAGTTTACCATTCCAACTGCTTGCTCATTAAAGCTATTTACAAACTGCCATCTGATATTCATAGTACTGGGTGTAATTAATCGAACTTAACAAATAAGTTCAGTTTCTTCAACTATCTGATCCTGCTGTCGTGAATGGAACCCTTCTCAAAATCTGTTCTGAAACCAGTAGGGAATCGAACCACTCCTCTTCAAGTCCGGACGTAACGTGTTACCACTACACCACCGGCCCTTGTGCTCCAGATTTAGCCCTGGCAGCACACCTAACTGTGCTTCTGTCTCTCAAGGCAAGATACACCTTTCCCCTCATTCTTTGTGGCGGCTTCATGACCGGCTTTCGCGGGTTTTCCGCGACACCCGTTCTCAGTGACTTGTCGCCTTTGAGCCTCAAGCAGCTGACAATCCCCCACCCCCTTCCCCCCC